TGTCTAAATGGCTGAGCACAATATAGTTACATAGTGTATCTATTATACCAGGAGTACATTTTGTTGTTACAAGACTTTGGAAAGCATAAAGACTGTCCTGAAATTGAAATATTTCCCCCAGATGTTTGATTGCCTAAGTACAGGCTATATTAAGGAACAGAAGCAAAACAACCCTTGTGGTTTCACAGATGTCCCATCACAGCACAGGCTCCTTTATAATCCTCTGAATAAAATCTAATTTGTTTCATCTGGTGGAGAGGTCATTTCTAGCTTCTGACCTGTATGAGTAAGAAGATCTGATAATCTGAATTGTATTTCATACTGAATTTGTACTTGGTGGGTAAAGCAAATCACTGATGTTCTTTCTGGTTAAGATTTTTTTTAATATTCATCTTAGTTAAAATAAACTTGCATATTTTGATGCTGGTTTGCGCTTCCTTTGGATGCGGCTCTTCATAGGGAAAGCTGCTATCCCCCCTCCCCCTCGTTTGGTAATACTTCATACTTTATAACATTTTAAGTCAAAGACTTGCCTTTAATATAATGCCCGTTCTACGCTATTCCTTTCTTGGAAAGTCATAACCTGACATTGCCAGGAGGAATCACTCTCTCATTGCCTGAAATTAGGAGAGGACCCTTCCCTTTATCTTCTTTCAGTTCCATGGTCACTTTCCTAGATGTCTCAGCTCCCAGTTTAAAAAACAAAACAAAAGAACACTTACTTAAAATTTGTGAAGAGCACTGATCTTTTAACGTTATATTAACTGAAAATATCTTTTTTAGGATTACAAGGAACACTGGTCTCAATACGAAAGTGCAAAATCAAGCAGTGGTCCAAGAGGTCAGTCTTCTGAACCAACCAACGGCCAGCAACCTTCCAGAAGACCAGCCAAGCACAAGCCTCGAAAAAAGCAGAAACACCAGCGTGGCCCGAAGTTTTTGGTGACTGAAGAGCTGGTTGTCAGTGAGGGAAAGCAGAATAACGCTTCCAGGCAGCAGCAAAACCAAAGTAAGCCTGCTGATGCTTCCATAAAACATGAAACAGTTGTGATGGTGAACGGCCCGAACAATGAGTTACAACACTCAAGTGTTCTGAGAAGCCAGGGTCCCAAAGTAACCTCTGACAGATTGGCTCCACCACAGCAGGCTTTGGACAGGGTACTCCATGAAAATTCTACTGGATATCACTCGATGACAGATGTTCATAGAGAAGGAGGCCACCAAGACCAAGAAGAGAAAAGATTTTTGTACCAGCAGCCACACATCAGCAGTCTTTCCAATATGGATTACCTTCATAAACTTCCTAGGAAACAGGCATCCCTTAGCCAGAAAGGCTCTCAGTCTGTTTCTAACATAGATATTAACGCATCAACTGAAAATAAGAAGCAACCCAAACAGATTTATACGGAAACAAAATATAAGAACTTAGAAATATTATGGTAAGAGTTCCCTGTTCTCAAATGGTTTTCTAGAGAAATGAGACTGCTGGAGAAACACAGGAGAGGGGGATGGGGCGGGGCGGGCCGGGGCAGGGAGGGGGTTCATGGCCATGGTCAGGCAAGAGGGAAAATTCACCTCACAACATCCTTGGCTCTGATTTCTGCCTGAAATAGTCCACATTTGATGTATTTCTTTTCTTCTTCCCTGTCTCCTCTACTTTTCCTACTGTAGTTAAACCAGAGGTTGGAGGGAGAAGCGAAAGACAGAGGGACCCAGTCAAAACAGATCAGTGTATTTTGAAGTCTGCAAGTAATGTCTGGAGAAAACAAATTATCTCCAACCCTATAATGATCTATCCTAAGAAAATAAAATACAGAAAAATATATATGTGTAAAAATATCACTTACAGAAATGACAGCAATGATTGATTCTTTATTAAGGAGATGTTTAGGTAAATTATAATGTTTAATATTGTGCAACCATTAAAAATTATGCTTATGAGGAAAAAGTAAAGAGTCAGATACAACAATTACATTTAAGGAGTATAAGCTCTATCTGCTATGTTAAAATGTGCACAGAAAATGAAAAATGCACCAAAATGTCAATAGTGGTATCTCTGGTGAGAGAGATTGGGACTTTTTTCTCAGTTGAAGTACTGTCAGTTACAATGTGCCAATTTCTGGTGTACAGCACAATGTCCCAGTCATGCATATACATACATATATTCGTTTTCATATTCTATGATTGGGATTATTTTTAATTTATCCTGTATATTTTCTGAGTTGTCCAAGTTCTCTACAATGTAGGTACATTACCTCTATAATTAGAAAAAAGAAAAGTTATTTTAAAAATCACGTCGGGTTATTGAATGACTGGTGTAATTCAATCATGTCTATTACACAGCTGATATGGCTGAAGTAACTCTAAAATGCTATTGAGGATACAAAAGAAGTACGATGCATGGGAACCTTCAAGGAGCTTATTTTCAAAGTAGGGAGATAATTTTACATAAATGAATTAATCAGAAGACATCTGAGTGCTACACTTGGAGGTATGGAATATTCCTTTAGTAAGATTCAGAATTAGCTTCCTAAAACAGACAGTGACAGATATCAGGCAATCTTGCCTTTTTTCCTGTCTTTAGAGGGGGTCCTTCTAACATTTTTGCCATTAAAAATATTTCATTTTTAGTAGGTATGTAGATAGGAAATTTCCTCCTATTCTTCTTTCTTGCAAAGAACTTCCATCATAAATACGTGCTTAATGTTATCAAATACTTTTTCTGCATCAATTTAAATTCTTTCTTCTTTAAGCCTTTAATGTTGCTAAATGTATTAATAAATTTTCTAATATTACACTATCCTTTTATTCCTAGGATTAACCCAACTTGTCATACTGTTTTAATAAACTGCTTGATTTGATTTGTTAACACTCACAAACTTAGAATTTGTGATTTAGGATTAAATTCACATGCAGGAAGTGGGACTGGCTTAAAATTTTCCAACCTGCCACTGGCTCCGTCTGGATATCTTTTCAAGATTATACCAGCCTTAAAAAATTTTAATTCCCCCATTTTACATCCTTGGGGACACTTCATATACAATTAGAATTATCTGTTACTTGAGGATTTCGTAGAATTTTCCTGTAAAACTATTTAGCTCATATGGGTTATTTGTTTGGTTTTTCATTTGTTGTTATTTGTGGGCAGATTTTAAATTACTCACATTTTTGTGTGTGTGATACTCACATATTTGAAGTTATTTCTACTCTTAATTTGTCCTTCCTAACCACCCTACTTTTTCTATGCTTCTTTGTTTTGTAATATCATCTATTGAACTGACAGAATTTTCTATTACTTTTTCCCTCTACTGATTTGGAAACATATATTCTCTATTCTCTTTTTTTTTTTAACTTACATACCTAACTTGTCTAGAGTTAAATTAGTATTTCTGTTATCCTCCATGGTTGAAATCACTGGATTGTTCTAATCCAGTCACCCTTTGCGTCATACAGATTATTTTTGTCCAGCACCTTGTATCTCCAAAATCAACCATTGCTTTTCATTCTTGTTGTGTGGAGTCAGTGCGATTTAAATTTAACCAATTGTTTATTCATGTCTTTGCCCCACGCTCTTTCATTTTACTCTTTCTTCCTGAAGTAGAACCTTTAGAAGTTCTTTCAGCAAATGCATTTTACTGGTAAACTTGCCTGAAATTCCTCTGCTTTACTCTCTGTCTTGAATTCTAGTTTAACCTGGTAAAGCATTAAACTCTTTGAAAACATTATTTTTTTCATTTCCTGGCATCTGGACTTCTTTGAAAAGTCTTTTTTTCAATGTAATTACCTTTTTTGTTGTTTGTTTTCAGTTTGTCTTTTTTTCTCCTATTGGTTTTGAGGTCTCTCCACTTCTGGTGTTCTCAAGCTTCACTGTGATGTGCGTCGGTTTGAAATTTGTAATCCTGCTTGGGATTATTCTGTAATTCCTAAATCTGAGGGTTCATCTCTTTCATAAATTCTGGAAAATTATCACCCATTTCCCCTTTGAATATTATGTCTCCCAAATTTGCTCTATTTTCCATTCAAGAAAACCAAATGGCTGTATATTCCATTCTCTTATTCTAGGCTGTGTTTCTGTTTATTTTCCATCTCTTATCTCTCTGTGCTTCTTTCTGAGAAATTTCTTCTAAATTTATAAGTCTTTTCAGTTTTGTTCAGTCTGCTCTTTAAAGTATCCACTGAATTGTAAATTTCAGTGATAGTGTTTTTCATGTCTAAAATTTCTATGCAATTCTGATCAAAACTTTCCTGTTCTTTTTTCAGAATTTATTTCTCAGGGTTTTGATTTCTTCTTTCATGTCTTTAATATTATGCTTATTTACAAGTGTTATCTAATAGTTATCTTAAGTTCTTAGAAATCTACTGCTCCTTTTTGTGTGTCTGCTGACTCTCATGGTGGGTTATTTCCTCATATGTTGTAGGATTTTGGATTGTGCACTTATGTTTAACCATCTCATCTGTAGACACCTAGGCAGACTTGGGTGGGAACGTATCCTTCCAGAGGATTTTTATGTTTGATTCTGCCAGATACTATAGGGGTATCCTTCCTTCAGGATCATCTTTATGTTAATTTCTTGATGTTAGATTTCCATGATTATGTGGGTAAAGTTGAACCCCAAATATGGTCCCATAAATATTCACATGGAATTTTTTTCTCCAGTTCAGGGCCTAGACTGAGACAGATGGGCTTGCTTTGTTGTTTCTCCAGGCTGGTGAATGAGTTTTTCATTAATCCTCCTTTTTACTGAGGGTGTAGCTCTTCAAGGGTTACAGCCTTCACTCAGACATCTCAGCTGGGATTCCCTGCCTCACACAGGGCCACAATCTCACATATTCCACACAGTGTTACAAGTTGAAACTCAAGCACTTAGGTCCAAAACGCCCTCAAAGAAAGCTATACCTTCAGCTTATCCAAAATCTGCGTTAGTTTTAATTCTTGTTTAGTTTGTCTTTGAAGATTCCCTGTCTCTCTTACAACTACATAGTTTAAAGGATGTTGGTTTAATCTAATCCAACATTCCCAGTTATTTTGTGGTAGGAAGGTCTTTGATTTTAATGGTATTTTTTCTATTGTGAATGCATTAAATGACAGTTCTAAGTAAGAGCTAGAGTATCCTAAAGGAAAAAGAGGAGGACTTTAAGAAATTAATGTATTTATGAAAAGATTAAGCTAAAGGATATTAATTTGATCAGGGAGTGATAAATACATCAAATTAATGGTTCATAAAGACATGCTGAAAGTCTTATTTTTTAATTTAAATTTTTTTAATTATAAAATTATTTGGGGGGTAATTAGGTTTATTTTTTAATGGAGGTGCTGGGGATTGAACCCAGGACCTTATGCATGCTAAGTAGGCACTCTACCACTGAGCTTTACACCCCCCACACTAAAAGTCTATGTATCCAGGTTTTATTAATGGATTTGTGCCTTTTTTTTTTTTTTTTGCTTTTAAGGAAATTTCATTCTTCCTCTGACAGCCAACCTGCTAGAGCCTCCCCAGACTCACAGCTTGCCCAGATAATGGAACAGCATCAGCAAGCCTTAACGCAGCTGACTGAGGTGCAGCCCCACGAAGGAGCCCTATCCGGCGTCACACTTCCACCCATACTGTCAAGGATGGAAAGTGAATCTCAGCTTAGCTCAGGGAGAAGCCAAAGAAACCAAATGAACATTAGCCGTAGCAACTCTGAAGGTTATCTGTTTCAACTGGAAAAAGGGAAGAAGCCTCGGAAAAGCAGCAGCATTAAGGTAATAAAAGCATTTTACCAAGTAACCTTTTATTTTGATAATACACATGGACGTTGATTTTCATTCCCCTCATCACAGGCTTGGAATAGGGATGATCATTACTGAGCTGCGGCCACAGCTGGGTGGCCCCGAGTCCTGAGGAACTTCCTTACTTGAGCCCCTGTCACTGTGTGGAATTTCCCTCCCCTCCTCCACCTCCTCCTTCTCTTTCTCTTCCTCCCCCTGGAAGTTGCTGCTGCCAGGGACGCCCTTTTTTTCCACCTCCTTTTTTGCTTCATCTAAGGGAAGGGTCTACATTCACAGAGAGGCAGCTGTCCTCCTATGCGCTGACTTAAACACGACACCCTCAGAAAAGCTCCCCACACCTCCCTCGACCCCTAGCCTAGCCTGAGACTCCCAGGTACATTCTCGTATCCGAGAAGGGACAGGAGGGTTGAGTGAGTGGAAGCCCCCGTTGCCGCTGCATTTCCCACCCCACCTCCAGCGCAGCCCCCGCCCCCTAAGAACTCTTCTTGCTCCTCATCGCACCTCAGCTCCAGCAGGAAAACACCCATGAGAGCCAATGACTGAGCTTTTTCTGAAATGTTTGCTGATCTTTGCTGAGTCCTTTGTTTACTACCAGATTCACCATTACTACTAGCACCCTTGTGCACTAAACCTCCCCCTCCAGGTCTGTGTTGTTAAATAAGGGACATGGGGGTGGGAGGCAAAGAGGAAGGTTTCCAGGAAGGAATGAAAGAGCACTGGGGAGCCTTCTTATGTCATGATGTTTCCATGGAAAAGTAAGTTACTTATGATCCCAGAAACACATTTCTTCTCATTTATAGTGAAACTGGGGATTACCCCAGCTCCAAACCACAGCCTGGGCAAGAATTAGGGACCCCCATAGGATGGAGGAAATCCATGTATTAAAACCTCAGCTTAGTGCCTAGCTAAGCATAGACATCGACTAAATGTTAGTTTCCTTTCCCTTCCTCCTCCTCCTCTTAGTAGTCTGAATTCACGTTTTATCACGAAAGGCAGAGGAAAGTACCCAGTGCCCGCTGTATCACCAGACAGCGAAGGTCGGGAGGGCAAGGAAGAGGAAGACAGAGAACTTCCGGTCACTGCTTCCCAAGCCCTCTTTCCAGCTTGGAAAATCCTTCCCTGACTGCTTTCTTTCAGGGGTGTTACAGTCCACAGATAACCGTTTTCTCCACCCAACACCTTCAGCCCACATCTGACAGAGCAGCACTCTTTTGTCCTGAAAGTTATTCCAGAAGCTCACATGACTGAGAACCGAGCTGTTTGTATAGGACAGCAGGTAGCCAGGGCCCCAGACAGAGGGAGTCATTACTCAGTTGTGCCAGCTTCCTAGTCACAGCAAATCTCGTGGTCTCCAAGGGAATCGACTTGAATCACATGAAACATTTGAGGATTTGTCAAGATAAGAGGCCCAAGAATGGTTCCTTTTCTCCTGGCAGCTCTGTTGTGACTGATTTGTGTATACTCAGCTTTGTCCGTGCTGTTGAATCCAGAAGTCAGGCAGGAGATGAACACGGGCAGTGTAGGAATACCCACCACGACCCGCCGCAGAAATAAGTGCCCGCGGGCTCCTCTGACAGCCGACTCCGCTGAGCTGAGCTGCCGTAATTAACTCATGTGTCTGCTGTCACAGACAATCTGGGCATTGCTGCTTGACTGCTTCTAAGAAGAGGTTTATTTGGATTAAGTTTAGCAACCACAGAGCAAATTTCCTTCACTTGCTGTTCCCCAGTATTTGAGGCATTGTTTTCCGTCCTGTTTTTGAGTAACTTTCTCACCCTTACACATCTGAGGAATGTTCTGGAGGAGAGCCCTGCAGTGTCCCCCACAGCAGGGCACAGCATCTCAGAGTTGAAACAAGTCCTCTCGGGACAGTCAATGGCATTTTCAGTTCAGGCACCTTTTGCCCCCCAGGTTGACTATAAAAGTCAACTTTCTGACTTCAGCAGAGGTGCGATTAGTGACTGGCAGGAAATCCTATGCCCAACTCTGCTAAAGTGATGAAGAGTGGACACCTGTTCAGAGGAGCAGGATTGGGTGATGTCAGTCCGCGTGCATCTCATGCAAAGACTAGCAGCGAACCCCATCAGGGATTTGTTGAAAACGTGCTTTTATTTGCCCACTGTGTTTAAGACCTAAGGAGATGATTATTGTTGATTTAATTTAAAAATTGGGGGGGGGGCATCGTGCTATTGTGACCTTTTGGTCTTGTAACAGCCAAAGAGAGGTAAACCAAAGTTAATTCTTAGGATTATTTTACTATGAAAGCCTTTTGAAGAGACAGAAAGTAGATTAGTGGTTGCCTAGGGCTGGAGTGGGGGCAGGGGAGGGGCGTGACTGCTAGTGGGAACATGTTTCTTTTTAGGATAATGAAAATGTTTTAAAATTGGATTGTGGTGATGTTTTCACGTGCAACTCCAGATAAGTGAATTTTGTGGTATGTGAATTCTGTCTCGATAAAGCTGTTAAAAAGATTTTTGATGGAAAGAGATCAAACAAAATTACAGCACTGAGAATCAACCAAAGATTACTTGAGGCAAACAAGTAAATCCAGGAACTTTCACTGCCAGTCACCCAGAACAAACTCTGTTAGGAGCCGCCGCTCTCCCTCGGGAAGTGTTCCTTCACTAGAAGCAGCTCATCCTGTCAAGGGGTCCATGGCGTTTGGAGATGGCCCCTTCTTGTGGCCTGAAGGGCCACCTCCAAACACTTTCCTTCCTGTCAGTTTGTCATGCTAAGACCCTCGGCTGTTTTTCTGTGATGTTTGTTTATTCAAGGTGGTAGTGACAACTGCAACCAGGACGCAATAAGCAATTATTCATGCTTCACAGCATGTCTTTTGTGAGTCAGTGGGATGATTAAAGTTAAGCCGCTTCAGACTAAGGATGTGATTTCTGGGCACTGATCATTTCTCTCTCATCAGTTTTGGACAAATTGGATTTACGACTTGGATGTGAGTGGAGTTCTCTCCTTTTTCATTATTGGTTTACTTTAGCAAATAGATAATAACTTAGTGATTGCAAAACACTGGAACAGATGGCAAATGCCAGATAAAGGACAAATTTGCGATCGCAAAGTACAGAATACCTGAGTTCATTCACCTATTAAAAATTAGCAAACTTATGGTTACCAAAGGGGAAAGAAAGGGCGAGGGGAAGAATAAATTAGGAGTTTGGGGTTAGCAGATACAAACTCCTAGATGTAAATGAGAGAAACAACAAAGTCCTGATGTAGAGCACAGGGAACTATATTCAATATCTTTTAATAACCTATAATGAAAAAGAATATGTGTGTATAACTGAATCACTATGCTGCACACCAGAAACTAACACAACATTGTAAATCAGATATACTTCAATGAAAAATATTACCAAAGCTTTTAAAATGTGACAATACCCAGCGTCATCAAGGTTTGGACAAAAAGAACATTCTTACACCTTGTTAGTGGAAGTCCTCGTCAATGGCCCTGGAGACGTTCATGATTCTGCATCAATGATCTCCCGTCTCTTAACTTATCTCAAAGAAACAATCAGAGTAGCCCACAAACAGCGCTCATCCCGGGGACATCCTAAAGGTTCAGCATCTCGAGGAATAGCTAAATAATTCAACCATTAACTGGACAACAGAATGTTATACATAAAAATCACATTTTCAGAAAACATTTAATGGCAGGGAAATACAATGTATCGCTAAACTGCTCAGTGAAAAAACTTAACAACATAATTTGTAGCACAGGGACAATGTTATCAATGTCTGAACAGACCCATCTAAAGGGCTGGAAGCAGCTGCCGGGGTTTTGCTGGGTGATGACTCTGTTCTCTTAAAAGAGAGCTATGATTCTGAAATGCCTTCAGTGAACAATATTTCTTCTCTACAATTTAATGTTATTAATGTTTTAATTATTTTAGTCCAAAGGCTTCTTTAAGAAAGGATCTTCTCTGACTTTTCAAAATTAGATGCCCTGAAAGACTCTAAACGTTGAACATTCTAACCAGGCCAATTCTATTTACAGAACTTGTAATCCTTACAGTGCAGAAGTGTTGCCTAAATGACACTCTGAAGCACTAGGATGTACTATAAAACTTTTGTAGGACCGTGGAAATATTGCCTTCACCTACAAGTCACAGAATTACTATTTACAGCAACTTAAGAAATAAGGGTTCATTCTTCTTGCATACAATGAATCCAAAAGCAGGTAGTTGCTAGCGCTGATGGTTCTACAGCTCAAATCATCAGAATCAGTATTTGTGTGATTCTCTGGTTCTCTCTTTTCCCCGCCTACAAGATTGCTGCTGCAGCTGCAGCTCCAGCTCCAGGAATCACATCCACATTTTAGGCAAGATAAAGGGAAAGGAGGAGGGGCTGTGCCAGTCTGAATAAAAGCTTTCCAAGATGCATCTATCTACCCCTGCACACTTTTCACTCATGTCTCATGGGCCAGAGCTCAGAGCTGGCGTTTGGGGAAAGGAGTACTTGGCTCTGAGCCTGGGAAGCAGCAATGGAGAAGCTAATTGGTCTGACCTCTGGGGGAGGGGGGTGGTCAGTCAATAGGCACTGTGAGTAGAACCCGTTCTTGTAACAGTTGATACACGTGTGGATGTAACCCCACTGTAAAGATTTGAGAACTATAAGCAGTAACTATCTGTTGAAATGTTCTGTTTTTAAAGTCTCTGGACTAATCTCTGCCAAGTTTTTAGGAAAGGGCACATTAGATATGTTGTATATCTTAGGACTTAATCGTTGACAGGGACTTTCAAAATTTAGAAACAGGCCTTGTCATCAGCATATAGACAGGTCGTGCCACGCACACTGAGCACAGAACGGCCGCCTCTACAGCATGGCTGTCCTCTTTCCATTCTAAGCACCAACTCAGATGTGCCCTAAGATCACTACGGTCACCCAGACCGTCTCTGGTATTGTCCTTCCCACCCTTCCCAAGGAAGACAGCCAAGTGCATCCACAAACTCAAAGAAAAGAGGATTTAGTTTCCCCACAAGGGCATCGGCTGCAAGTAGCAAGTCAGATCTAACATCAAAAGCAGGAGTTTGTGGAATATCTTAATCTATCCTGCAGTCAGGAGGGCATTAGTGTTTTCTCTGCCTATTACTATGCTCACGGGTCATAATTTAACAATTAAATTGCCTCGTTCTGTTACTCTGTCCCTTTAAATAAGCAATAGCCATAAGAGGGATCATGTAAGATTATTTGTATCCTTCAAAACTTCCAGGATCACACGGAATAAATGAGTTTCTCAGAGGGTCTTGCTTAGACTCTTAACCTTTAAATGTTTACTTTCTTTTGAATATGATGACATCAGACAGTGTACTCTTTCTTCAAGTGGTCATGTACCCATTACGTTAAAAACGTTAACAACACAGCACTGTACTCACTCAAAAATTTTTATTTATAATTTTCAGAATTTCAGGGTTTTTATCGCAGAAGTGGAAAAGTCAAAACACGTTGGCTCACCAGCTACAAATTACCAAAGCAACTCTGATTGATGGCCACCATTAAAACGGAAGAGTTGTCAGGAAATCCACCCATTGTCCCGCAGTCCACACAGGCTGCCTTTCTGCATGTTGCTTCTTCCCCTTCTCATGTGGCTGTGACAACTTGGGGGAGACATATGAGTCTTTAAAAGAAACTGTCTCTTCATTGAATTTTTAGAGTTCCAAGCTGAAAGGTTATCAGAACAGAGACGTGAAGCTTGGCGGCCTGGGACCTGACCTCGTGTCCGTCAGAGACAAAGTGAGTGGGCTGTACATGCAGACTTGGATTTGCCCCTGGTCTCTCGGCACAATTGTATAAAGATACCCCACCCCCCGAACTAGGGCCTACTCTGAATAGCCCTGGTAATAAGACCCAAGCACTCCTTTCACCATGAAACAAAGTTACTCAGCCAATGTCGTTTTATGTATCCACCTTTCAGCGAGTTTTAAAAGTCCAAACAGGAAAGTGGGACGCGGGCACATGAAGAGAGGTGTGTGTTATACAGTTGTTGGTCTTTCCCAATAGAGTTCTCTTGATAGTATTGAAGAGTGGCTACAGAGAAGACACTTAGGGGGTAAGAGTCTCCCAACCCATGAAAAGTGCATCCACTTTATTCTCTTCCCTCTAGCGAAAGGAGGTCTTCATTTAATGTGTTTTAACTGCAGTTGCACTCAAGGCATAAAAAGAGTATAGTTCAAAGTTGGAAGCCAAAATGAAAATAAATTGGGTAAACGCAACAAAGAAGAGGCTGAATGTGATTTAGCCCCTGTTAAGAGAGCACTGGGTGCGCTATTGTGGCGATGTTCCCCCTCGAGAGAGACTGTTTCTAGGAGAAACATTAACTTAACCATTTCCCTGCAGTCACCTTACAGGCGGTAATCCCATTTCCCCCGTGCTGCTGACAGAACGTACCAAGCTCACTAAAACTAGCGTCCCTTTAGAGAGAACAGAGAGGTCTAGCAGGACCTAGTGAGTCATCCTCACTTCGTTTCTCTGAACAGATGCAGAAATTAATACAGCAGAAGGAATATGCAAAACAGGTTAAGGAGTACAACATGAAGACGCTGTCCACCCTCTCAAAGCCACAAAGTGCAAAACCTGAAAATAAATCCGCCATCCCTCGGCAGAAGGTAAGACATTCTCACCAAGGCAGTTATCTTTTCAATTAGAACTAAAAGGAAACCTTTGTTACCTCCTGGCTTAATAAATTCCCCACATTGCTTGGAACACAGAGGATGTTTTAACTACCATTCCTGCAGCTCCTCAACATTCACAAATACTGATGTACAACTGGGAGGCACACATAGGATGCTGTAAGGTTAGCCCCGTTTTTTCCCTGAAGTTCACTGTTATCTTTAATCCTCCACGTGTTTCCATCCTAGTATTTCAGGTTTGTCACTCAAAAATCGAATGGTTAGGTGATTTCTTAGAAGCAACTAGAAACCTGATGAACTATCATTTTCCTTCTCCACCATTAAATGAGTTTTAGGAAGTTAGTGTTTCCTTGCCGTCAGTGGGTACCTATGTCAGAGAAAAGTCCTTCGTTGCTTCTCTCAGGTTCATTCCCTCCATTTTCCCTCGGGGATGGTAATATATAGGTTCCTCCACCCGAGAAAAATGATATCAAAAAATACAGAATGTTCTCCCTCTCAGAGGTCATCCAACTCTAAGTCGCAATGTGAATGAAATATGTTCTATGGAGACACCGAGCCTTGGAGTGCAAGTCTGTGCCTCATCCCAGCGAGGACATGGGACCCTTTGCATGAGGGACAAGTGACCCTTTGGTGCTTTTAGGAATTTGTACTTCATGTTCTATTTCACAGACCATCATATTTTCTATCTATTGCCTTTCTTCCTCAGACCTTGAAGACCTCAATCCACTTGATTGAGTTTCCATGGTGCCACTTTTTCTTTTTTCTCCAACCCATTATTTTTTCATGAAGAGATTCAAGGCAACAAGTCTATAATTAGAAATTCCAACAGAAGTCACCTACACACACTGAGAAGTCTGGAGTTTTTCTGTCTTGGAGATTTTTCTCCTTCCAGGACCCACATATACTACCCATTCCCATTTTAGCTATCAAGAAACCCTTATCAAAATATAAAACTGGTACCAAAGCAGATTTAGAAATTGTATCTAGTGATCTCATTTTTATTGTAATGCCTTTCAGAACTGACATCACTGAAAAAAAAAAAGATCACTGCCTTTTTTGAGAATCCAGGTTTCTATAGATCTACTAAAGAAAAAGAAAAAATAACTTTCAACCGCTATTAAATACTTGCCAGAGTTCTGAAAGCCTAAAAGCGAGACTAGCTGGTGTAATGATGGAGACTCAATTTCATGTCAACCAGAGATGTCTTTGGTCTCAAGCCATCCTCTTTGGATGGAAAGGTCTGTTAAGAGCTCCTTAATAGAAGTTTGGTTTTAATAAGACTGCCAGAAGCTAAACAGATTGAACATATAAGAAATCTATTTCCAAGCACTTGAATAAAACTCAGTTTTATAAAGAAAAACATCCAGAAACACAACTATATATCCTTCTTGAACCCTTTTTGCCCCCACAGCATTTTTTTATGTGGCCAATTAATTCTGTTTGAACTGTGTGTTATATTGCATTATTTGCATTTTCCATTTGATCTCCATTACCATCCGCGTCTTAGTATGTGATTGTAGCAATAGTCTCCATTTACAATGTCAATAAACCTCTCCTAAGGTGAGATTTTATTTCAAGAATCCAGGGCTCCCTTCACATTTTAAATCAAATGTTATCTTTATACTTTTAGGCTTTGGAATATGCCAAGACCATCCCCAAACCCAAACTCTCAAATCTGAGTGATCAAGCATCAAAGGAAAAAAAAAATCCAACCCATGCTGGAAAAGAAGGCACTTTACCTGAAATCTCACTGCTGGAAATACTGCGGAACAGACACGAAAGGGAAAAACAGGCTGTGGCCGCTTTCAAAGTCCTTCACATCGTATAGACAACATGTGTGCTGGGGACCAGAGATGCCAGGGAACCCACACAGAGAAGAGAAACTCCAGCCCCAACTGTTGTGCGTTGAGAGTGATGACTTAGTGTCATCAGCTAACTGCAGTCCATGTTTGCTTTGTACAGGATTTAAAATATGGGGCCCTATTATATTACGGTGCCTTATTTTACTTTCCGAGAAGAAAACCTATCTTAATTATTTATTTTCAAATCAGTTAAAATTGGGGCTGAATAAGAACTAGGGAATAAAACCTTTTGCTTTCATCTTTGATTTTTTTTAAACTTCTTTTTGGTTTTATATTGGATCTCTTAATTTCTTAAATGAGTGCTACCCTTTCTTAGCATAATGAAACTCTTGAAGTTACCCAAAAATAAATTTATCTACTTGTGTTTCTTTCTCATTTTTCTGATAAGAAAAAAAAAGTATAAACACTTCGGTTTCTACTGAAATGAATTCAAGCTGGACTAAACACCAGTAAATCTTGAGATACCATTTCCAAACTATTTCTAAAATCTCTAAGTTTAGCAAAAGGTTTATATGTAAAATTTAAGAAATGACAGTGCTTCTATATGTGCCTATTCAAGTAAAACAAATCACCAATTTTCTTCTAACAAAGCATCAGACACTAATTAGAAATCCTTGCAGGGAGGGTATAGCTCAAGTGGTAGAGCTCATGCTTAGCATGCATGAGGTCCTGGGTTCAATCCCCAGTGCCTCCAGTAAATAAATAAACTTAATTACCTCCTCCCTGCCAAAATAAAAATAATTAAATAATACAATAATAAATAAATAAAAAGTAAGAAAACCTAAAAAAAAAAAAAAGAAAGAAATCCTCCAAGTCCAGAAACACTCAACTCAGGCAACTCTGAGACACACTTTCTCAAAGCTGCTTACTCCAAGTATATCAATTTGCTGAACATCCTGCCATCACAAATATCTTAAAATATCAGATATGTGCTTTTACACATTAGGTAAGACAAAAACATTAGCTAAGACGAAAACATTCCATAGTTTACTACTGAATGTCAATATTACTAAATATTTTTTACTTTTTAAAAAAGCTTTTGAAACTGAATAAGCATTGTAAAATTCCCAGGTCTTAAAATAATCACTGGAGGATTTAATTTTCACTTACTTGCTTGCACTAGATGAGCACTGCATTCTTGGATGGCTGTATCCAGAAATGGATACATTTAACAACAATTTCGGGCAAATCTGTTTCTCTACATGGTTGGCATAAGGACTCGCTTTGGAGATTTATTTCTGTTCTAAACATTTTACATACACCACAATGTGGTAGCAAAGCCGCCTGTACAAAATTTTTTCCTAAAATTGGAAGCGAATAGAATTGAAAGTCTGGAAAGATAACAAGAATCCAAAGATAAACAGTGAATTGGTGAATCATGTTTCAATAGTATTGGGAAAATCACAGCACGGATGAGGTGCTAGTTCAGGAAAATCACAGCTCAAGCTGCTCCCATAATGTATCTGTAAAATAAGAGGAACCTTCAGGGTACATGTTTAAAGACTTTTCTAGAAACATGAGATAGAATGATTTCTTTTTCCCCAAATGGCCTTAAATTTAAACTTACTCTGGAAGACAAAATAATGCATATAGAGACATTTCCATATTTTCATATTTAAAGGGACAGGGTAATTTTTTAAAATATTCCATTTCTATTAAAGTACCTTAAAAATTTAGAGCTTGGAAGGGGTTTATCTTGTTCAATGCCAATTTTTCAGAAGAGGAAATGGAGATCAAGAAAGGATAGGAGACTCTGAAGTCCTTCCGTCCTACAGTGAGAGAGCAGTCAGGTCTAAACTCCAATCGTTCAACACCAAGGACAGCACTGTTTGATAATTTGCTTGTGGGAAGAGCTAGTTCTTTTCTATGTGGGCAAGGAGGATGCAGTAATATATTTCAATTTTGGACATGAACTTTCATCATTAAGTTTCATTTTTAGAAATATACATTACTTACCTACCTTTTATTTTTAATATGTACAACCTGGAAACTTCATTGCTACATTGATAGAGTTGTAGCAAAGATGTAACTCAAATGTCGACCAATAAAAGAGACACTATTTCAATTTTTTTTCCCCAGAACATTTAAAAACCTCTCCCTAACCATTTTCTCTTTCAGCTTAAGCACTGTTAAATCTTTCAGGCACTTTCGCACATACTATTAAGAACCCACACTCAGCTGAAGCAGGTTCAGTGATTTAGTTGATGTCAAACAACATTTCACAGGAACTGAACACCCAAGGCAAAACTTTACCATCTGGTATATGACACCTTAGAGCATCAAAATTCTTTGCACACAAATATTGAAAGTGACAAGTAGCATCTAAAATGACTTGACTAAAGGAAAAGAACATATTTGCTGAAAGTTTGGGATTGAAATCAAAGAATAGATCAAAATTGGTCTTCATCTGGCCCCAAGTCATCTCACAATGGTAAGATCCAACAGAAGGTCACTAAGGTACAATGATAGTAAGACAGGGTAGAGATGCTGCAAAAACAGTGAATGACAGTTTTTTTGCTTCTCCTTTAAATTGTACTAATAATAACGATGCTGATCTTTTATAGACTCAAGTGGATCAGTGATCAGTTTTTATACTATTTCTATTGCAGATATTTTGGAAATAAAAACAGTCTGCCTATTAGAAGGCAAAGAACTGTCAACTTACGTGATACAATGATGGAGGGCCTGTACGTGACCAGATGTTACACAAGCCATTGAAAGAATGGTGCCTAACCTGCCAACTCTCTGTGAGCTGCTACAAATAAAGGACCTTTAAATCATGCATCCTTTCTTATTATGGGCTCCTTTTGTGATGTTTTTCTCTATCTTGAGTTTCCAACAACAGCATCCTCCTAGAGGGAGCTTTTTCACAAGGAGCTGAATTTAATGACAGCTGCCTTCATGATTTTGGTTTGTAGAGTGAGGAGTCTCTTGGGAGTTATCTAGACACCAACTTAGGAAAAGACAGTATTGAGGAAGAAAATAAAAGGTAAGGCTAGAAAAGGCCTAATGGTTCCAAATGGGGCCTTATTATTGGTTAATGAATCATTGTCAAAACATCGCAGCAAGCATGAGCATGCACGGTCCAGGCTACAGCGAGAAAATGACTCTTCATCCCAACACTTATTAGCTGGGAGTTGTTTGAAAACACATCCAGTAATTATAACAACACTGGAGCTAATTGAGAACTTTGAGTTGACACCAAATGGTCTACAATGGCAGGCTGGATAAACTCAGGGGGGATTCTTTTTTAATTACTGATTGAAAAATATAGCATAAAGTGAATTGAATTTGGGTGACAGCCGGCAGATATCAGGACAAGTTTAACTAATTTTCTCCAAGATGTGCTTTAAAACATGTATTTCCATCATACTAGAAGTTGCACTTGAAAGTGTAAAGTTCTTAAGGAACAATCAAGGCTGCTTTCCTAAACATGCTTCTTTTCTTAAAGGATTATCTTTCTCCCTATTAGAGTAAGAATAAGTCTTGAGTAGTACACATTTCATCCAATTCTCAAGCATTCTACCGGACGACTAAAGGGCTTTTCCGCCCTAACGCTCAGTGCGTTTTCGTAACTTCTATTCCTACTAGGTAAAAACAGAAAGACAAAAAGATACACGAATGCTCCATTTGCTGCTTTAGTTGTTTGCCCGGTGAGAAAGGATTTACAACAGTAGCACGGAGTGAAATGTTTTCATTATTGTGGGTTTTGTTTATCCACAGCGTCTCACTCCCTCTATGTCCCTGATTATAAGAAATAGTCTACATTGACAGACAAAATGTGTATGCTATAAAGGCAAATAAGGAGAAATATGTATTCTAATACAATTTTTATTTAGATATTTATTCCACTTTTTAAAAATATACTAAAGTAGGATCTCAGTGTAGCTAAAAATCTAGTATTTAGAACTGTCCCCTCAACCCACTGGGTACAGTGTCTCTACTCCCCCTCCCACTTCATTAAGCAAAACCACACATCTTCCTCACAAAGATACTGAGAAAATACAAAATGTCTCCATTTCCTAAGCAAACATCTGTTCAATGGAAAGCAAAAGGTTCTGGATGGCAGGTTTGTCGTGTATTCATTCATTCAGTCAGTCATTCGTTTGTTCATTTGACTTCCCCATCTTAAAAATTCCCATTGTTCCAGCTTGGTTACTTCATTTGGGTTCAGCGGACTAAATGAAAAGTTGGGGCTTTCACAAGAGGTTATAAAAACATCACAGTGCAAGACGCAGTAAGGTGCCAAGTGCACAGACTTCAGCTCTCTCTCTACCGTTCAATATAGGGGCTCTGCGGGTAAGATGAAGAGAAGGAAAAAGAATTTGGTGGGCAAGGTTTATCTCCCTTGCTGCCTCTCCACTGCCATTTCATCTTCCCCTTGCAAACCTGAGCAAAGTAAGTAATTAATTTTCAATAAGCTGAATAATTTAGTCTCCGGCTATTAAATAGCTCTAACAGGTTGAGAGGATTACAATGATACGAGCATTTCAGGCAAATAAATTTAATGAAGCCCTGGAAACATCTGATAAGATTTCACATATTTTTCACTGAGTCGACAGTTCATAGAGACCAGACCTGGCAGACTCTTGCCACTAGAGTCCCAGGCTTTTGCAATGCTTAAAGAGTAGTTATCTTTCAGGGGCAAATCTGACAGTGGGAGAAATAACCTTCAGAAATGTAAAATCCAAAAAGTATAATCAGTTATTTTCTGGGAAGGTGTCTGTACAGGAGAAGGAAGCAGAAAACAGAATGAATGTCCAGTGAATAAAGGCACCGCAGATCTCCACACTAGATAATTTGGACCCCAAACGGACTCTCTCCTCTGTGGCAAATTTGTCTCCCAAATTAACCCTTACGCTTTCTTTTTTTGCCATCCAGACAACGATCAAAATCGCTGTCATGAAGCCTGGTTGGTCTTACCTCCTATCTCCAACCCATCACCTGGCAGTGATGTTTTTTTCCCATTTCCCCGGCTGCCACACAATGTGACCCTTTGAGGCAGTGCTGAGGGCGCTGTCTCTACTTAAAATTGATCATCTATCATACAAACCTCAAGCACCTATTTTTAATGAAACCTTTAGATGAATATCAAAGAACTATTTGCCGTGCCTAATGTTTTAATTAGATTATATTCTCAATTTAACCCATTAAACCTCCTTTGATGATCCTCGTATCTAGTGTTTAGCCTCAGATGCACGAGGTAATGAATACTGGACATTTTGATTTAATGAGAATTTCGGCTCTTCCAGCCTGCGCCTCTTTGTACACCTTTTCTTTTGCCCGCTATAGAATTCAGTTAATTGAAGGAGTCTCTTACCATCA